TACTATCAAGTTAGTTTCTGTATAGTCGCTGACCTCGGATTTACGGGTTGGGCTGGTTTGCGCAACTAGTTTAAGTGACCCACTGAGTCGAATAAATGCAACCATTTTGGATAGTGTGGTTAAAGCTACACCATATATATTTATAAACATATTTATAAATATATTTATATATACAAAGGGATATATATACAAAGGGATATACAAAGGGAAATCATGTTTTAAAATGGCAGCATGCCATAAGCCTATATGTTTTCCATGAGAACTGTTGAGCCTCAAATTTTGAAAAATTCTGATTTCAGTTTTTAAGTGAGTATAGATATGAATTGGGCATAATAATGCCCATGTGGATTACACATTTTCCAATTGTCTAATATTTTAAGTGGTGTCTATATGAGTTTATGTCTTATAACATTCCTAAGCATTCCTTAGGGTGTGCTGTAATTTTCACATTATTATCTCATTCTTTGGTTTTAATAGGATTCGTAAAAGTTTTGAAGTTTTAATTTCAGTTTTTCCCACTGCTTAGAATTTGATGATATAAAATGAAAAGAGGTTTCCATAGTTGCTAACATTCACCAGATTTTGTTCCAAAGCATGGACTTTAGTAGACTTTTGAATTAAATCCACATTCTCCACCCAAGCCTAGTGATATAATCCAACAGTTCAAAGATAGGTATGCCATAAACAGCTATAGTTAAATAATCTAAAGAAAAAAAAATTAAAACATGGAAATACAATAAAACAAGAATTGATCACTTTATAGTGGAATACTCTATAAATGTCTGCATTGGAAACATGTGGTGAGTTTTAAAACATCTGAGTTCTATAATTCTAAAGTGTATAGTTGATTGGAAGGCAGAAACTTTTTTTCCTCCACTGCATTTATAGAAGAATACAGGCTAGTATGTTTTTGCTGTCCCAATTTGCACTCATTTGCTCATTTTTAGTTTAGAAAAATCACTACGGGGTACAAATACGTAAGTATAGTCACCTCGACTAAGTATTTTGTCACTGAGTTCTAAAGAGTGATCATAAAGAGAGTACTTCTGTAAATCTTGCTATTTTATCTGTCTGTCCAAAGCAGAAGTCACACGTTAATGTAATCCCCAATAAGAGGAAGAAATTATTTAAAAGAATATACATGGCATAAAAAAGTAACAGGGTCTTTAATTCTTAATGATCGTTTTAATTTTTAAGGTATGTCAGTTTATCTGAGTGGCATTATACTAATTGTCATAATTACAGGAGCTGAAATGTACCAGCGCTTTTGCAATGTAATGTCTGCACGATCTCATTTAACTTGTTAACCGAAGTCAGACAACCCTTCCGTGTAGGAGGCAATTGAACTCTTAACCATCACAAAAAGTGCTGGCTATAGATGATGCTGTTTAAAATGGAATAATTCACTTTATTTTCTGGGTTGCCTAAAAAATTCTATTATGTGTATATAAAAAATGCTATAATAGCCTGCCAGGGGAAATAGAGCAGTGTTTTCTGAGCAGTGAAAAGGCTAGTTTAGTTTCTTAGCTTATAACTTTTTTTAAAAAAGGTTTGTTTTTTTTTTTTTGTAAACTAAAAAAACCCCTCAAAACATATACAATGAGAATCTTTTCATAAATACTGAAAACAAATGTGTTCCCTTGCTAGATTGTGCTGTCCCCACCACTGTAGACTTTTGTTCATAATCTCTACGGATTCCTCTTGCAAAGCGAATAGTGTTTTCTAAAAATTACATTTTGTTAAGGTAAAGAAGGAAGGAAGCACATAGGAGTCTTAGAGTAACAGTTGCTTCATGTAATTCCTGAGCATGGTGTGCAAGCCCTAGCCTTTCCCCTGCGCAGTCTTCTCTAGTGCCTGGCCCTTTGGAAACAGCACCAGAAGCCTCCCTGGAGGAGGAGGTCTGGAGGAATCACAGTGTTTAGTGAAAAGCAAAAAAAGCCCAGAAGGGACTGGTCTCCAGATTGCGGTGCCTCCAGTAGGGCTCCTGGAAACTTCTTGCTCTGGTGGCTTCATTCCCCTAATAAGGAGATTCTGTGGCAGAGACCAGGGGCAAGTCATTTCGCATCTGGGTCTCACTGTCCCATGTATTTAACAGGAGAAGTTGTATTAGCTGTTTTCCAGAGTTCCTCCCAGTTGTGAGAGGTTATGATGTTAACATAATGTCAACAACCACCATTGTTTATGGAGGGCTTCCTCTGTGCCAGGCATGTTCTTTGATTGCGTATTTGTAATAGCCCTGTCTGAAGATACTAACCTGCTTGAAATTTGAAGTTACTGAGGATTGTGGGGGTTAAGTGCAGTCGTAAATGTCCCACAGCTAGAGAAGGGTGAAGCTGGGATGTGCATGAGCCTTCGACACCCCAGCTGGGCTCTTCACCAGCGTGCAAACTACCTGTCTTCTGCTGAGGTGACGTGTCTGTGTTTCTAATCCAACAAAGGCCATCGTACGATAGGTACGATAGCTCTGTAAAGCAAGCAGGACTAGTACATAACTCACGGTTCCAAAAGAAGAAAGAAGTGTTCTGTTTTTTAAGTAAAATGTCTGTCAGATGATATGATTTCCTGCTGAGAAAAAGCAAGCTTAAAATGAATTAGTTTTTCATGTTTTTTGAGGAACGAAAGGTTCAGCATACAGTTCCATACACTGGTCCATTTTATTAGGTAAGAAGAAAAAAAACAAAAACATAATTTATTTAGAAAATTAACTTAATCACAGCAAACCCAAACCAGGCATTTTTAGCCAGGAATAATCTTGTCTGTGAGGAGAATATTTATTATACAGATGGAAGTAAAGACTAAAATTGCTGGTAATGTCTTTAACACACTATTTTTATTTCGTCAGTCTTAATAGAGATGAAAGAGAAATCACATGCAGCCTCATTCTCCAGTGCAGGGGAGGGGAGGGGTTGTGTTTTCTCAGAAGAATGCTCCTCTAGGTTTCCATTGGAGTGAGGTGAAGGGCTGCCTCTCCGATGCTCACCCCCTCCTCCCGAGGGCAGAGCTTCTCCTGGAACCCCAGTGGAGTAATCCCTCCGAGGGGGGAGCCATGGAGGACTTCTCACTCCCCGCAATTCATTTTGTCCCTACGAACCCAGCATCAGCCCTCCAAAGCTTCCCTGTCGTTTCTGTCCTTGACAGTTGAATCTGTCCTTGACAGACACGTTGTTTTTTCTTTTTGCTTTGCCCTGTTTGATTTAAGAAGAACTTGTCACAAGCCCTTTCGGGGCCTGGAAGAGCACCCATCAGGAGGTGTGGGCAGGCCCTGTGTGCTTTGGAGTGGGTGTTAAGCCTTCGGTTCATAAAAGAAATAGGGGAGCCGGCCTCACATTGGACTGTTGATTTTGTCAAATTCTCTCCCTTTCTCCCTTTGCTCTCCTGACTTACTCCATTGCAAGGATGTGATGGATCCTGCCCGGCTGCTCTCTATGAACTCAGTGTACTAAATTCTGTCTTGGGTGTGTGCATGTAAAGAGGGCACCTGGGGGGCTCAGTCGGTTAAGTGTCTGCCTACCCTGGGTTCGAGCCCCGCGGCAGGCTCCCTGCTCTTCGGAGAGCCTGCTTCTCCCTCTCCCTCTGCTGCTCCCCCTGCTTGTGCTCTCATTGTTGCTCTCTCTCTTAAATAAATAAAATCTTAAAAAAAAAAAAAAAAGGACATCTGTATTTTGGTGATGTCTAGTTTGCTGTCCTCTGGGTCTGAATGTCAGAAATGGAAGAACGTCAAATGCCCTTACCTGTTCTGCTGTTTTAAGTGTGTGCATGGACATGTGTTGTTTTTTTGGTTTGTTTTCTTATTTATGTAAGTTGCCAGATGAGCAAGAGTGAGGGGAATATTTTTAAAGGTAATTTTGTGTTCATTTTTTAAAAGTACCGTCGAGGAACGTACTGATTTGAAAAGGTGTGGCCTAGTGGTGAGAAGAGCAAAGAGGCTATTCAGTCCCGTTGCCTTGTTTCTCCAGGGGACAGCTTTTGTGACTTGGGTGTGCTCTTGGTTCAGGGATGTGAGGTGTATGTTGTTTCTGGTCATGACTTCTGTCCAGGAGACACATGGATGCAGGAGCCCTGGGGCATGCGGTTAAATGGGACCTAGAGTTTCGTAAAGCTCAGGTGGAGGGAGAGGTGCAATACATTTGTGAAAATGTGGAACCTTTTAACTTTGGGGATGTAGGAATAAGTACAGCTTTTCTGTTGGTAGCTGTGTGCCTGAGAATGTGGCTTTTTAAGTTGGGGGGCTCTTTCTGTCTAAATTCAAGGAAGTAGGAGGGCTACAGCAATTGTTTTTACTTCTTTGTCTTCAGGAAGACTCAGTCACATAGAAAGCATTCTATCTTGAAATGTGGACCATGGATTAACTGCATCAGAATTCCCCCAAGGGCCTGTTAAAAATGCGTATTTCCAGACTTTCTGGATCAGAATTTTAAAGGGTTGGAGATTGCAAATTTGCATTTTAAAGAGGCATCCCAGGTGATTCTTCTGTAATCCTAAAGTTTGAAAAGCACTCCTATGGAGTAATATGTCACCTCTCCTACTTCAGAGGGCAGAAGGTATCCGACCACAGTGCTAATGTTGAGAATGTTGGTCTATATTGCAAGTACTTTTTAAAGCATGTATTAAAGATGAGGCAGTTATCTGGACTTTTCGCTTCAGCTAAGGCTCTCCCTCACAGGATGGTCACCATCCTAACTGCTGCAGTAAAAATGGGAACAACTCATAGCATTTGTCGTCCTTTGTCTGTCGGGCTTGTACAAATAATGGGCATACGAAAAAATCTAACTAGAAAACGTTTGAAATCTTTTGAACTTCAGTCAGTATGGAAAACAATTAGAATGTAGTTAAATTTATACAGTCAGGCACTTTTTGCAAAATACGTCACAATGGTTAAAATGGGTTAAAATCAGTATTTTCTCACCAGAGTTATATTGTGTCGCGATTGGATATTGCTTTAAATACAGAAAGTAGCTATTTTGCAAAATACTGATTTGTTTGTTTGTTTGTTTTAACAGGAGAAACTAACCCAAGAGTGTGTATTCAGAGAACAGTTTGAAGAAAACTGGTATAACACGTACTCTTCGAATCTGTATAAACACGTGGACACTGGAAGGCGATACTATGTTGCATTAAATAAAGACGGGACCCCAAGAGAAGGAACGAGGACTAAACGGCACCAGAAATTCACACATTTTTTACCTAGGCCAGTGGACCCCGACAAAGTACCTGAACTATATAAGGATATTCTAAGCCAAAGTTGACAAAGACAATTTCTTCACTTGAGCCCTTAAAAAAGTAACCACTATAAAGGTTTCACGCGGTGGGTTCTTATTGATTAGCTGTGTCATCACACCAGCTCCACAGTTGCCAAACTTTGCCGCATGTATAATGTACGATGGAGGCTTGGATGGGAACATGCTGATTTTGTTCTGCACTTAAACAGGCTTGTCCTCCTGGAGGACCGCCGCTGCCCACTTGCTTGATTTATTGTGAGAAGAGGAGAGGGAGACTGAGCGGGGGTGTGAGTGTGTGCGTGGATGAGGAGCAGGGGAGATGGAAGAGAGAAGCAGAAGCAGAGAGGACCGCGGCCTGATGCATGCTGGGATTTAGACGCGCTTTTACATTTTTGATCAGTTGTACTTCATCTTGTATCAGCACAGCTGCCATACTTCGACTCATCAGGATTTTGGCTGGTGGCCTGCGCAAGGGTACGCTGCATTTTCAAAGGCATGGAGGGTGCAGTCTTACTTAAGAGACTTTTTCAGTTAATGCTCACTGGTGCCATCCCGGTGAATTTAAAGCAAAGACCTCTTAGTAAAAATAAAATAAAAAAAAATAAATAAAAATAAAAAAAAAGTTAAATTTATTTATAGAAATTCCAAAGGCAACATTTTATTTATTTTATATATTTATTTATTATATAGAGTTTATTTTTAATGAAATATGTACAGGCCAGATAGGCATTTTGGAAGCTTTAGGCTCTGTAAGCATTAAATGGCAAAGTCCGCTACGAACCTGTGGTAAATTCATGCAAGTAAATACAACGGTGCATGGATATGAGAAATTCTAATGACCCTAATGTACTAAAGGTGACAATCTCTTTTGTGCCCATATTATTGTAAACTTATGCACATCATTCATGACACTGAGTATTCACTCTTCAGACTGCTTGTTTCATAGCTTATCCCAGAGGATTAAAGAAAAACTGGGTCTCAAACTTTTATTCTGTGTCTGTAATATTTCCTCTCTCATAAGTGACTTATTCCATCACTGTAACTTCACGGTTGGAAAATATAAGGGTTGGTATATATCCTACATGTTTAAACCTATTGCAGAATATACCAAAGCTGAACAATAACTATGCTTTTATTTTAGTTGATCTCCAGGACAACAGGACTAACATCAAACATTGTACTGATTTAGAATCCTCAAAAAGAAAAAAAAGAAAAAAAAAAAGAGCTTACGTAGCACAGATTTTTTTTTTTTTTTTTTTTTAAGGGACAAGAATCAGATTAAACAGGACCATTCTTGGAGACTTTTTATTTGTGCACTATCAAATATGACATTATACAAGCTCCATAGAGGTCATTGTAACATCTTTTATAGGAAATTGCTTTTGGTGTGAACCATCGTAATACATAATAGCACCCTTCAAGTAAAACTTGCAAAATGAAACTAATAAATCTTCATCAATAATGACAATGAGGGGGAAAGTATTATACTTGTTGACTGTGTTTTGTTTTTAAAAATGGTCCTCACAAGCGCTCAATTTTTTTAGAGGGGAGGTTACTATATAGAATATCTTTTACAAGGCTTTTATAACATTTTATGCTGAAAAGCGTAAGAATACATATTTCTTTAGTAGCAATAATTTTGGAACTTGCCCTTGGGCAAGGAAGACTATTTCTTACTATATACTAAGGAGGAAAGAGCCAAATTCTTAAAGCAATATTTAAGAAAAAGGAATTTATAACAAATTCACATACCACATATAACACTTTCTAGCCAGTTATGTTGGGAAATTGAAAGTGACAGTTAAAAAATTGTGTTGGGATTTATGTAACTAATTTTAAAATTTAATATTCCAACTTTGTTTTGCTCTGATGCACATTCTTTATGAAAAATAAAAGTATGTCACTGTTGAGTTAAAGCTGTTTGGAAGTAGAAGCGCATGACTTATTGCCATGAACACATGTGGCCCTTCTATAGTCCAAGTTCGAGGATGTAGCAGAGACCTCCTGCTGATGTGCATTAAGGAAAAACTAAGTCTAACGTTTGGAATTAAGAAATATTTGGGGGGAGGGGACAGAAGCGATGTAAAATAGTTGATTTATGATAAACTCAGAATGTCCTCTTCATTTATTTTCTTGGTTTTTTTTTTTCTCTTACTTTCGAAACAGAAACTGCATTTAATTCCAAGATATAGTATTCTTATTTATTACTTAACCCTTTGCTGCTGCTAAAATGTGCACATATTCAGGCTTTAGTTTTTCCAAAAGGCATTTGATATTTTTGGCTGAAAACATTAAACATCTGACCACAGGGAAGAAGCAAGTTTCTAGGATGTCATGGGTACAATACTTAGCACTGAAGAAACTGGTTTTAGAGGTAGCCAAACGTACTCTTGAAGTAGCATGAGATGCTAGATAATCGGCCTAAACGAAAGCAACCAATTCGTGAAAAAGATTAAAATCTCCACGCATTCCTAGAAAATGCTACTTTAACGTCTACTTTTGGAGTTAATTTCGTTTTGGTACCTTTTTCTTTCCTTTCCTTTTCTTTTCTTTAAAGAAAAACAAAATGTTATATGCTTTTGGCAATGGATACAATAAACTGTAATGGTCTGTAAATAAATAAATATTGACTTATGCAATTTATGTAAATAAGTGTTCTGGGAGAGTAGATGGCTCAGGGTTTTGACGTGGGCATTGTCCTGTGGGGTTTTAGAGCAAGTGGGTTTGTATCCGGTTCTCGTCGTAGGAGACCGCAAGCCTGTTGGATGGCAGCTCCAAGCCACTGTGCAGTGGGTGGGTCCAGTTTTCACAAACAGACGCTCAGATAGCCAAACCACTGTCTTATTGGTGACAGCACTTGCACCTTGGTTAGAGACTTCACGGGCACGGACTGAACCACCCTCCCACCTGTCATGTGAATGTCCCCAGGCAGTGTGAAGGACAGGCCAGGTCAGTATTGGGGAACCTGTCCCTGCCAGGTCCTGTGTTGTAGATAAATGAATGGCTTTAGTTGATGGTGTCTTCCTTCTATTTCATCTCATTAACACTACAACGTTGTGTTATTTACTTGATAATCTGTAATTGTATGTAAATACATACAGGATTATGTAATTTGTGTAAATACATAATTACAGACTTTTGAAAACTGGTATTTTTTACTCGATGTCCATTTTGGAGCTGCTTCAGATTATGTGCCTACATGAACCAATGGAATTTTGAAAACAAGCTCTCCTTGCTCTTACAGCTGTTGCGTGTGTGTTGAGGGGATGGGGGGGTGTGGGGGCTGGAGGCAGAGGAACAAACATCCAGATGTTTTTTTCTTTTCTGTAAGCATTAGATGAAGAAACGAGTAATCTGGGATAAAGATTTATGAACTTGCAGCGAGCAAAACGCAGTGTGTGCACACATTTACGTGGATGGGTGAATGGACAAAGACATATTGTTTGAGGTCAAATTCTGTTGGCTGCATCCTTTGACCTTGAAATGTGCTGAATTTAGATCCACTGTTTGTGGTCACTCGCACGAGAGAGCAATGAAGTCGCGGGGGTGGGGAAATACGCCAGATGGATTCAAAAGGTGTGCGAGCCCCCGGGCCCCCTCAGGTGCGTGTGTGTGTATACGTGTGCTATACGTGCCACATAATGCCCCGTGGGTCCGTCCGTGGACGTTTCACATTTTAGAATTGATATATTGTTGTTAAAAGTGGAACGGGGAGGAGTTATGAGAGTAAATAGTGCCTGCTTCCTTCAGCATATAGCCCCCAATTCTGGGATTCAGCTCTGTGCCGTGGCCCTGGACACAACAGGTGTGGTCACTGGAGTGTGAGCAGTGGCTGGGAGCGTGATTTCTACCTTTTACTTCCAGTGTGCTTTGGCGACTGCTTTCTCTTGGGTCTATAGGAGAATTTGGTCCCCAGTTTTAGTAAGATAAGACGGATGTGCATCACTGTCTAAGTTTAAGGTGTACAGCATAATGATTTTACTTGCATCCCCACGATCACTTTAGTTAACATCCATCATCCACAAGCATTTCTTGATGTAACATTTTCTTCGCCAGACAGGACCATGTGGAAATAAGAAATAACCTCGTGTTTCATTTTCTTTGGACAGAAAGTGAAAATGAGTGTTCTTACTGTGAATGCTCCCTCTTGCTTCTATGCTGGCTTAGTCATCAGGTCAAGAGCCATTTGGCTCTAAGGTTGGATGATTATTGTGACGGCTACCAGGGAGGCAAACGAAACACCAAAGTGAGGTCTCTTTGTTATTTTGGTTAATGGTCAAAGAAAATTCTTAGAGTTGTTATTACCCACCAATTACATTCCAACTGATTTCTTGGAAAACATTTTTAAAACAAAATTTTAATTGAAAATAATTGTAGGCATACCAAATATCTTAATAGCCCTTGGCAGGCTGCACTTGTAACCGGCTCTTTTTTTTCCCTGTCCCTTCTGAAGATCCTTCTACTGATATATTCGATCTTGGTTATGATTCTCATTGTTATTAGTGGACTTAGCCTGGAACATTTGATACCGGGAACTAAAGAGTTAAAAAGCGTAATGAGGACATTCAAAGCTGAAAGATCGGTCCTGCCCTCCTCACCAAGGGGAAGGACAAGCATTGTGGACAGTGTTCAAGGCCCAGCTTGGAGGCACTTATTTTTAAAAACAGTCATCCAGGCTTTTTCCTAACCATTTTGTGGGATGTTGCAAAACATTCTGTAAGCTCCACTTGGCTGTGGCCTCTGGCTTCTAGGATATGCATATGTACAGGCTAAATGACAGCTTTGTGAGACTTTTGTTTTCGACTAACGAAAAGAGGGCTTTTCCTAGTCTGTGCCAATATTAGAATTCTAACTCTTCTTTCAGAAGGAAGCCATACTCTGAACATCTCTTTATTCTGTGGTTGACCAAAGTCTCTTTCCCTCCCTCTCTCTTTTTCTTTTCCTTCCTCGCCCCCTCCCTGCTCCCTTCCTTCGTTTTATTGTAGGGAGATGGCATCAGCAATAAATAGACCCAATTCCCGATGGCACACTTGGAATTTCAACAAACAGGCATCCTGGTATACTGCATGAACACGTGGTAAGGAGAGTACCAGGGGCTGTGGGACAGAGTGTGCCCAGTACAGACTTATGGCTGGTGATGTCTAAGGCGAAATGCAAAAGATGATAGGAGGTACAGAAAAGAGAGCTGTAGTCGCTCGCATTCTAACTGGGTCGAAAAAGTGCTTTGTACTTGGGGAATTTGGACTCATCTTATCTTTTACTGATATTTCCTGGATGCCTGTGACTGACTGAGCCTGAGGATATGAAGAGTGCTGGCTGATTGGCCAGCATTGGTCTTGGAGGGTTTCCTACCCCTTGTGGAGGGGCATTGGTTCATGGAGATGACCAGAATCAGTTTTTGAATTGGATCAGCTCTGTTGCCCTGTACCTTCTAAGGCCATACTCAGAACACTCTTTTGCTGGTTACTGTTGATTTCTATCCAGAGGACGGTGACTCTATTCATTTTTGTTAGTATTACTCACTTCAGTTTTCCCCCTCACATTTGCCTTACATCACAGGCAAAATCCACAATATAATAGCGATGAAAATATAGGATAATAAAAGAGGTACAATATAACATAATTTTTAAAAAAGATTTATTTGAAAAAAAATAAAAAAGACTTATTTGAGAGAGAGAGAACGGGGTGGGGAGGGGTAGAGGGAGAGGGGTAGAGAGAGAGAATCTCAAGTAGACTCCCTGCTGAGTGTGGAGCCCCACCTGGGACTCGATTCCAGACCCTGATATCAGGACCTGAGCCAAAACCAAGAGTCCATCGCTTAACTGACTGTGCCACCCAGGTGCCCCTATAACATAATCTTTAAAATATACACTTCGCTCTTTCAATGTATTGAACAACTGTTATATAACATGGAACAGTGTTGAGGATATAATAGGGAAAAAACCCAGACATTCTGATCCTAAATACCAGGCTAGGTTCTATGTCAATG